TAGTTTTCCTGTGTTCCCATTGAAATCTCAAACTCCATATGTGATTCCCTTATGGGGCAGATTGAAGATTCCTGTACATGTAACGCAGGGGCTTGGACGACTCGACCGTTGAGACAACTCGACTACGGGACAATTCGACCGTTGAGACAACTACACTGTTGAGACAACTCGACCGTTCAGACGACTCGATCGTTGAGACAACTCGACCGTTGAGACAAGTCGCCCGTCAGCTTCTGCAGGCGTGATAGTTTGGTGGGGCTCAATCGAAGTTTAGTTCTTATAATCAGGTTGTGGATTGTCTGCTGTGTCCGGGTTTGATAATTAAGTGGAGGGGTACGGGTACGGGTTGGGTAAGCCTGACAGGATCCAATTGGGCTTTGCTCGGCCGGGCCGGGCTGATGGGCTGGGGTTGCTGGACGAGATAATCGGACTTGATTCGGCTGGGACTGGGATGTGCTGGGGTTGCCAAGCTGGGAGCGGGCGGCGGGTAAGGGCACCGCCGCCTTTTTTTGTTGTGCTTTCGTTGGGGTGGGGGCGAGGCATTGAGGCATTTTTGCGTGCGTAATCGGTGGGGCTCGGTCGAACTACAATTTTGAAACAGGTTTGTGGATTGTTTACCGTGTCCGGGTTTGATCATTAGGTGGAGGGGCACGGGTACAGGTTGGGGTAGCATGACCAAGAGCATATGGAGAACTTTGCCACCCATATGTGCAGAAAATCAAAGCCCTGCATGCTCTGCGGTCACACACAACGGTGCATTGACCCGGCGACCTGCATAGCCCCACTGCGTAGCCCGGACTATACATAAACAGCAGGTCGATCCTCGGAACAAAAGCGATGTCTGATTTGACAAGAAAAGTGCCCCTTGTTCTTCTCAACCAATCAAAACGGTTGTTTCATGAATGGAAAGCTTATTGTGTTATCTTTCAGAAACCGTGCGAGGTAATTGTATGCGACCGGGTTCACACGTGTGCTGTTCGAAGAAGTAAACCCGCACCCTCAAAAATCAGGGAAATGTGCCATGACCTCCAAAGGAAACGCGAAATTTTCACTGAGTTACCCGTTTTTCAATGAAAAAGTGCACATAATTATTCGCCTTTAACCATGAAGAAATTATATTCATTTGAAAGAGGAAAACCTATATTTTATGATGCGATGCGAGGAAGTAAGTTTAACCAACATACTTTCCACGTATTAACGAAAGTTTGCTGAGAGCTCCTAGATATGAGCCAGTCTTCCCACGTAAACAGAGCTGCACTAGCGGCGAGTGAGCAAATGCTCCCTAGTTCTCCATGTACGGATCCGGGGGGGGGGGGGGGGGGCAAAGGGGTCCATGCCCCCCCTCCCAAAAAAAAGAAACCATTTTTTTTAATGTAACATCGCAATAAAGGCAGGCAATGAGTACATCTTTTCCTCAAAAAAACATTGGTTAAAGTGGTCAGAAATTGCCTCAGATCGCACCACAGAGCATGTAGAATCCAAACAAAATCGTCGGAACCCCACGCCGTAATTTTTTTGACCCACTTTTTGGGGGATCAATTTTTTTTTGGCCACCTAAAATTGTGTTCTGGATCCGCCCTTGAGCATGACGGGATCCAACTTCCGGCTGGGCCGGGGTTTGATGGGGCTGCTGGACGAGGTGGTCGGGTTTGGCTCGGCTGTGGCTGTGTTTTGCTGGGGGGTAGCCAAGCTTATATAGCTGGGTGCATTCGACGGGCGGGTAGCTTAGGGTAACCCTAGCTCAGTGGCGTAGCTAGGATCTTTTAAGTTGGGGGGGGGGGGGGGCACAGGGGGCATCAGAATATCATGGAGGGCACATATCGCAAAAATCCTTTTGCAGTTTTTTCCAGTTGGGTCCCACAATGCCTCGCAAGTTGACCTAAGAAATTGTAAACAGCAAACCTTTGGCTAACTGACATAATGTAACACGGTCATAAAGACAAATCATTGAATACTCAATTTTGAAATACAGAATAAACTCGTGTTGGAGGCAACAACTCATGAAATACACGTTACATTTCAATGAATTTTCGTGCACTCATTTGTCATGATGTTTGACATGAACAGATTTAATTTCATAAGAAAAGGTCAAACAATCAAACTATTATGACCGTAACAATAAAAGGTTTTAATCGCGACAAGTACAATCCTAATGGAAGTCAACATGGATTTCTAGCGTTTCAAACACTAGATTGTTACGATCATATTATATTTATAGCTCCACAGTTTCTCACGCCATTCAAACAACTTCTGCTACACAACGTGAAGACTAATTGCACGAATTTTCAATTGAATCCATTACGTATTTCTTGAGTAATTCATCGGAAACGAGATTGTTCTTTTTGTATACGCGTAGATGCGTTGTTGAGACCACTATTTATGTGGCGCGCCCTCTATTGAACGAAACTTAAAATATTCTACGGCGTGCCGATGTACGTCTTGGCGGTGCGAGACCACAGTTTTATTCAGCGCGCCCTTTCTCGAAAGATTTTGTTTAGTTGTTGGACGGTTTCTCACGAAATTTAATCTTCTCATGTAAGACATCAAGACCGATCACTTGCTGAACTTACAATTAAATATAGTTTGACCTGGTGAGCTTGGGTTATTGCTCAAACAAATAGTGTATTATTATTTTTCCATGGACGTTGACTTTTCATTTTTCATTTGGTTTGTATTTTTCACATTTAAAACACTATATTTCTTTCGAGTATGCTCTTTCTCATTGTTTGATGGTTTCTCATGAAATTAAATCTCATAATGTAACACAGTCATCATGACAAATCACTGAATATTCAATTTTGAAATACAAAACAAACTAGCACAGAAATCCTGCGCTATCCCTGTAAGCACAGAAGTAATCCTCTCTGATTGTTTAGGCTTTTTGCAAAAGCCGTAATTTCTAAGTGTCATGTAAAAATGTCTGTTGTAGTGTTGGCAATTCCCATGACAATAATGAGTGGCTAATCTACTAAGGGCACTTACTTCACTATTATACAAACCTACACACTATAGCAGAAACTAGCGTGAAATCCTAAACAGGGGTGGATCTAGCTTTGGCTGGGGGGGGGGAGGGGTGCGATGTCAGGTATGGGTGGGGATCTGGAAAATGTTTCGATTAACCTCCTTCCTTCAAATTTCATAATCCTTTTTCCTCATTAACAAAATAAGCCCCCTAGCCTGCATTATAACTTATTCGTCCTTTGTCACGATATTTAATACTTGATGAAATATTCTTCTAAAAAATAAAACAATTTAAAAAAAAACTGAAAATAAAACAACAGTTTATCCTCCTAGCCAAGGTGGTTAATATCCTCATTTATTCCTTTCAAAAAACACCCCCCCCCAGCCAAGATGGGTAGTCTCCTCCATAATTCACTTTTAAAAAAATATCCTCCTAGCCAAGAATAGTCTTCTCCAAAAATCCCTTCTAAAACAAATATCTTCCTCACCATGATGGTTCGTCTCCTCCATACTTCCCTTCTTAAATAACATCCTACCGGCCAAGATGGTTATCTCCTCCACGATTCCCTTCTAAAAATATTCTCCTAGCCAGGATGGTTGGTCTTCTCCATATATTTGCCTTCGAAAAAGAAATCCTCCTAGCCAAAATATTGAGTAAGTTTTCTCCATAATTCCCTTTTAAAAAATATTCTCCTTGCCACGATGGTTAGTCTATTCCATAATTCCCTTCTAATAAAAAAACCCTCCGAGCCAAGCTGGTTATCCTCTATAGTTCCCTTCTAAAAATATCCTCCTAGCCACGATGGTTAGTCTATTCCATAATTCCCTTCTAAAAAAAACCCTCCTAGCCAAGATGGTTAGTCTCCTCCCTATTTTCAAACATATCCTCCTAGCCAAGGTGGTCAATTTCCTCCATAATTCCCTTCTGAAACATATCCTCCTATGCAAGATGCTAATTCCCCTCAAGAATTCCCTCCTAAAATATCCTCAAGTTCAAGCACCCCCCCCCCACAGTGAAAACTATAAACTTTATATTTCTTTTTGTGTAAGTTGGTCAGTAGTGCAGAATGATTCACGTTAACTAATGCATGCAAAATAGAAAAAAAAAGTAAATTTTAATGACTATCATCCCACCCTATATTTTTAGGCTATTGAAATGTCAAACCCCAAAAACAGATTTTACCTACCCTACCACACAGTTGGTTTTGTTATATATGTCATAGAAAACACCACAATTTTTGTTTTTTGTTGGCCTTATTATTTTAATTTATGTTTCAGTGTCCAATTCATTTCATGGAGCCTTTCAGAGATCTTTCAGGTTATTCTGGATGACTGCATGTCTAAGGAAACACATGCTTTATGTCAATGGGAAATAATACTCCTTCTAATTTTTGTTTGTGACCCCCCTTACCTCCGCCCCCACCTCCCACCACCCCCACCTCCCACCACCCCCTACTCATCCCTCACCTCATCTCCTTGAAATCCAACTGGTAGAAATGCAAGCTGCGCGTCGTTGCCACCACGGGCAAGAAGGAGCAAGTGGACAGGGAGAAGATGAACATGGCCAACATGCTCAGCAAGTTCCGCATCAACTGCTCGGACGTGGAGGTCATCCCGGACCTGAACAAGAAGCCCAAGGAGTAGAGCCTTAGACGGTTCAAGGAGCTGTCCAAACTCTGGATGCTGGATGAGGATGCAGGGGAGACCATGGAGAAGTTTCCTTGGAAGATCAGCAAGGAAGAAGTCACCACGCTCAAAGAGAAGGTAGAATCTCCTTCTTTCGCTCATGCAACCCCCCCCCCCCCCTCCACTGAGAAAGCTATAAACGAGGACCTCTTGGGCGCCATCGTGTCTTATAAATGCTTGTACCAAATACACAATAACCAGCATGAGTGAACCAGTGAAGTGTCCCTCATTCCGGCTTCTGCTTGTTTTTACTATAAAGCGCCCTCTTTTGTCCATGCCATGCATGGAGGCAATACACTGAAAGCTTTCCTAGTGTCCACTTTACGCTAAGTCCCTGGTTTGTGTGTTTTTAATGTAGGGGTCCGTGTCTTTTGAGAGACTCCGTAGTCTTCGTGTGAGACCGTGATTTCATCAGTTCTATTTATAGCGTGTAGCGACATGTCACCGCTATTCATCCACATGTAGTGCAAATAGTTCCTTTGAGGAAAAGTAATTATTTAAAACAGTTTGGACGCATCAATCCTGAATTCACTTATTTGTAAACTTCTATTAATGTGGGAGATTGTATCCTGTAACTGTTAGAGACACTTTTGCTGAGCTAATAGTATCAGGAGAGGGGTTGTGAGGCGCATTAATCTACATGTGTTTTGCCATCTTGGAAAGTGATGAGCAATACCGTCCTTTTCGGATCAGCTGCCAATGTGTGAGTACATTGAAGAATAGTTTGTGCCCCTAAACTCAGCTTTTGATGATAACATTTTTATATCTATTGCATGATTTGTGTCTCATAGTCTCACATCACTATCCCTGATACTACTGGACAAATCTTAGGTTCATATGTTGATTGGAAAAAGAGTAATTTAAGGTTCATTTGTCCTCTCGATCTGTTGAAAACTTTCGTGAGTGAATCACCTGGTCGCACACGGTGACTGTTTCATGTCTGCAATTTACAGTGACTGTTGTATGTCTAATTCTAGCTTTGGTTTCTTGCTCCATAAAATATTTTGTGTGACAGGTTGGCGAGTTTGATGCCATAACACAACCCAGCTTGGCGTTCGGGGAAATTTGAAGTTGAGGAAATTTAGCAATTTATAAGGGAAATTTAGGGAAATTAAGCAACAGTTGAACGTAACGGCATTTTGTACTGGAATTTAAGTTAATTGACAATTGTAGACCACGCAAATTCTATACCCTAGCTCCTGTAACACTGGTTTATTTCATATAACACTACTTGCCATTGTGGGAACTGATTGTCATTTATTTCATTCTGCTTTGTTTATATAAAATCAGACATCAATTAAAATAATTTGATATTCCAATCTGAGAAGTGAAACTTTTTGCATCAGCTTCCAATTATTTTGTTTCTGATTTTGAATTATTGCCTCAGCGTCCTAAACTCATCATTTAGCGGACTTTCCTTCAAGTATCGTGGTGCACATAACACTGCCCCATGGTCTCCGCGATCAGTGCAAAAGTGGCGTCGTAGACAGGATAGCTTTGGCATTGACTTTCAGTTTCCCACATACTAAGTTTTAATTTCCCCGAACGCCAGTTATACGGTCGATCACATTTTTGGAGCACACTCTTCGTTTGATGTCGCGAGTCCTCAACTGTCGACCATATCCTATGCTGGGACGGATCCGTTAAGCACCGTTCAAGTAGAGAACGCGTTGTTTTCTCATTTAAAGTTGTATTGCATCAATTTTACATGTGTGCATGTGGTGGTAGGTCATTGAATATTTTGTTGACCACAGGTTGCACCCCACTATATTAGGTGCACACCCGTAAATATCTGTTCACATATGCATTTCGGCTTTTCATGCAAATGCGACACGTTTAGTGAGGTTTTCTTGCTCAAACTCAACAGAAATTGTGGTGAAGGTGGTCCCTCATGCAGATCTGGATAAAGATTACCACATGCATTCAGTGAAATGTGATGTGTTTCACATGTACACACTTTGTGTATTGTTACACAGCTATCTTTAAGGTGTAGCTGTCTATGCGTGTGTATAGTTTATATGCTAATTAGTAATTTTTTTTTGGACATGTACACGAGCTGACTTTGTGTATAGATACACCGCTATCTTTAAGGTGTAGCTGTCATTGCTTGAGCATATCTTATATGCCAATCAGTAACTTTTGAGTGTAGAAGTGAGATTGTTAATACATTTGTAACTCCTTCTGAAGTCGCGCTTAAAGGAAAGCGATATTGTAGTGTTTACTTACATGGTAAACAGTTTATTGATGGAATTTTAGGGAAAGACACCCAATTCCACGTTGTGTATATTTACTAGTATGAGGGGTATACAGCTAACTTGACAGAAACTCCCATCTATCATTTTCTTGATTGATTTTGTTGGGAGTACCTCAAAATATGGCAACCCCAGAGGCACTTGGGGAAATTCTCGCTCAGTCTCAGAAGGCTCTGGCTGAAACACTTGCAGGTGCCCTTCAAAACCTGAAATATCAAAGGGCTCCTACAGTTAAGTTGACTAAATTCTATGGTCGCCCTAGGAACACTGGAGACCTAACCCTTTGCGAATGGTTAGATGAGTTAGATACATACTGCAGACAATTAGGCCTTAAGGGTGGTGATAGGGTTTCTGCAGTATTGGACCACCTTGGAGGAGTAGCTAAGGAAGAGATACTTTGTTGTCCCAAGCAAGATCATAAAGATTTTGCGAAGCTGATTGCAACTTTGCAATCGCGATTCGGTCCTCAGGAGTCGGTACAATCACTAAACGGTGCATTCTATGCCCGCACACAATTAGAGGGCGAGTCATTGGCAGATTTTGGACGCGCACTTATACTTTTCTATAACCGCGTAGAGTCTGCTGCGGCTGACCCACAGGAAAGTGAGGCATTTGCACGACTAAGAGAGAAGGCCCTTAAAGAGCAATTTATAAAGGGAGCAGCAAGGCCGTATGTTCGCCGTGAATTACGAAAGTTAGAGATGGATTACCAAGACATGTCCTTTTTCGAGTTTCGGGACATAGCGCTTAAACTCTTCCAAGACTTAGATTCAGTTTCCAGTGGTCCGGTACACGACAGTCCCTATCATGCAGAACCAACTCCCACACTTGTTGATAAGGTCACAACCCGACCTTCCGATCAGACAACACTCAAATCTGTGTCCGAAAGGCAAGATCAACTCATAAAACTAGTTGAGGGTATGACTGTTCAGTTGCAAGAAGTAGGTAAAGTAGTAATTGAATTGAGCAAAGTGGTTGGTCAACTTGCAAACAATAGGCAATATCAACCAAGGCGCCCTGTCCCTCAGTGTACCTATTGTTCAAAACGGGGACATGATGCTGAAGTTTGCTACAAACGGCAAAATGATCTTAGGAGAGCCGGCGAGGCCACTGGGCCTCCGCCGAACATACCTCAATCTAAAACAGAACATAATGTGGCTGCGCAACCTAGTCTGGGAAAAGTTGTCCCCCTGTCATAGAGGACACTGTGGCAGAGGGGGTGTCGGTGCCCACTCCTGATTCATCTGTACTGGCTGGGGGTGATAGGGTTAATGCACAAACTCTCCGCAGGGAACTTCTTGCCCAAAGTCCCACAGCTAGAATCTGTATTGGGGGTAAAATGGTAAATTGCATCCTTGATACCGGGGCAGAGACTTCATTGATCTCATCAAAATTCTATCATGAACACTTAGCATCAGTAGTTGGGGAGTTAAATGAGGTAGGAACCTTCATAAATCTTAGGGGTGCCAATGATCTTGAAATACCTGTTAAGGGTTATTTAAGGACTAACATTACGATATTTGGGCAGAAGCTCACTGCAAGCTTTTTGGTAACATCATCAGAATCTCCCGAAGGCACAAATCCACGCAGGGAGAAATTCCCTATATTGTTAGGGTGCAATATCTTGAGATTGGTTGCACACCATCAAGGGTGTGTGAACCACATAAAACCTGGGTCCGACTGGGACCTTGCTCTGAAATGGTTTCAGCTTGTTGAGAATAGTGATTTGGATAACAGTGACACTAACGGTGTTAGCAGTCACACGTTTTGTGTGAAAACTCAAGTGAACGAGTTAATTCCTCCAGAGTCTGCAAAGAGCATCAGTTGTAATGTAGACGCAGACTGTCCAGATAACAGCTTATTGCTGTTACAGCCTTGTTTTGTTAACCCATCCTGTAGGGAGGATGATAATAGTGTATGTCACGATGGCCTATGTCCATCGCTTGTTGTACTGGAAGGCGTCCAGCCAAACAGTACGTCCTTGTTGTTGATCATTATCAACACTGGTGACGAGCCAGTGTTGGTGCCTGGTAATACTGAAATAGCAGTTGCTACTTCGGTTGAGTTAGCTGAAGAGGTTTTGGTGGATCTTGATGATGAGGGACTGAAGATCTCTGTACAAAATATTGTCTCTGATGAGACAGATCCTACTGAGGTTAATGTTGAATCTTTTGGGCGAGTGTCTAGTGACACCACTCAGGAAAAACCTGAGCATGCCTCCATTGATGAACCCGGGGAAGTGTTTGTGTTCCCAGATGGGACGAAATTTTCCTTACCCCCAGGGTTAAGTTTACAGAACCTTAGTTACAGTAACGCTGTTGAAGCAGCTAAGTTGATACAGAGACACACAAGGGCCTTCTCCGCGAGTCCACTAGACCTAGGCTATTGCAATCTCATCCCGCATGAGATCAAACTTTCTGACGATAGACCTGTAAATTTGCCTTACAGGCGTGTGATGCCTGATCAAGTAAGTGAGGTCAAGAAAATGCTGCAGGATCTACTCGATAGAAATATCATACGTAGATCAGCGAGCCCCTATGCAAGTCCGATCGTCTTAGTCAAAAAGAAAAATGGACAGTTAAGACTTTGTATAGATTATCGTTGTCTAAATTCAAAGACACAGCGAGACGCCTTCCCTCTACCAAGAATAGAGGAAACTCTCGAATCCCTAGGTGGCTCAAAGTTCTTTTCTTCGTTAGATTTGACCCACGGTTATTTTCAGGTGTCACTACATCCCGACGCAATCGCGAAGACAGCTTTCCGAGTCCCTTGGGGACTATATGAATTCTTGCGTTTACCGCAAGGCTTGACAAATAGCCCCAGCACCTTTCAACGGGTGATGGAGTTGATCTTTGGAGACCTTAATCAGACAGAAGTCATACTGTATCTTGACGATGTATTGGTGTTCTCAACCACGTTTGAGGAACATATCAGTAGACTAGATAAGGTCTTCTCACGTATTGAGGAGAATGGCCTTAAGCTAAAAGGGTCTAAATGTAGACTCTTCCAGACATCGGTTTCGCACTTGGGCCACATAGTTAGTGATCAAGGAATCTCTGTAGATCCAGATAAAGTTGCTAGGGTCAGAGATTGGCCTATTCCCTCGAAAGCGACACAGTTGAGGTCATTCCTCGGACTTGCCTCATATTATAGGCGCTATGTGAAAGGTTTTTCCGCTATTGCTGCTCCACTTCATGCGCTATGCGTCAAAGCACCGGAAAAAGCAGGGAACACCGGTGATCCATTTGCATGGTCAGCCGAGGCTGACAATGCTTTTCAGACTCTCAAACAGGCTCTTTGTGAGGCCCCTGTTTTGGCATTCCCGTGTTTTGAGAAAGATTTTGTGCTCGAGATCGATGCATCTCTGAAAGGCCTAGGGGCCTGTCTATCTCAATATGATGAGGGGGGCAACCTTCATCCAGTAGCATATGCTAGCCGGGGTTTGCGGGGACCGGAACGTAACTATAGCGACCTCTCTAGTTTTAAGTTAGAGCTGTTGGCTCTAAAATGGGCAGTGTCTGAAAAGTTTAAGGAGTACCTCATGGGAAAGAAAACAGTGGTATGGACAGATAATAACCCATTGGCCCATATCCAAACCGCGAAGTTGGGAGCAACCGAGCAACGCTGGGTGGCCCAACTTGCTCCATTTGACCTAGAAGTCAAATATCGTACTGGTCGTTCGAACAAGTGTGCCGATGCACTTAGTCGAAACCCTCCGAATGAGGTTGCGGTAGGAACAGTAGAGCCCCTCCATGTAGAGTCTAAGAGTACTTGTACTCCAATCCCACCTGGTGTAAGGTCTTGTCATGTCTCATGTTTTGAAGCTGGTGTGGTTAATAATGAAAGTGACTTACCTGGGGTTACACCATCAGTACTGCCGTCCTATTCTTTTGAGGAGTTAGCCTCGTTACAGAAAGGGGATGACACTCTTGGTAAAGTCTGGGCGCTTTGGAAGATACCTTGGCAACCTGGTCAGGAAGTTTTGGACCCTAATCTCCTCACCACTGCAGTAAAGGGGTGGATCAGGGAATGGCCTTGTTTTGTCGAGCGTCAAGGGGTTTTGTACCGTACCCATAATGAACCTGGGTTAGGACAGTGTTACCAGCTATTAGTTCCGAGCTCACTTCGTGCAACAATCTTAGAGGCGTCACATGATCAATGGGGTCACCAGGGAGTGGGTAGAACCTTGGGTTTCATGAAAAAGCGTTGCTTTTGGCCTGGTATGAACAAACATGTTCGTGAACATATTCAAAATTGCTTCCACTGTACAATCACCAAAACACCCACTCCGACTGTCCGGCCACCCATGCGCCATCTGCTATCGTTCCGTCCGTTGGAAAGACTAGCTATTGACTTTCTCAAGCTTGACAAAGGCTTAGGTAATCTTGAGGACGTACTTGTCATGACGGACTCGTTCACGAAATTCGCTGTCGCCGTCCCATGTAGAGACCAAAAAGCCTCCACCGTTGCTCGAGTCTTGAGGGATCATTGGTTTTCACGGTATGGGGTACCGTTACAACTACATTCTGACCGTGGCCAAAACTTCGAAAGTGGTGTTATCAGTGAGCTATGCAAACTGTACGGTATAGAAAGAACTCGAACTACTGCGTACCACCCTCAAGGAAACGCTCAAACGGAACGTTTCAATAAAACTGTATGCGGTCTCATCAAGTCTCTCGATCATAAGAAACGGAAACGGTGGCCTGAGCTGCTGCCGCACTTGGTTTTTGTTTATAACTCGACCCCACACAGTGTTACCGGATACGCACCATATACTTTAATGTTCGGTCGTGAGCCTACAGTACCCTTGGATCAACTTCTCAACAACACCAATAATAACTGGAATGAGAGTGTTACCAAGGAACAAGCAGATATCATTCGCGAAACCCATGAGATTGCTAAGCAGCGTCTAGTTAAAGCAGCTCAGGCTAACAAACGTCGCTATGACAAACGGGCTTATGCAAGTCCTTTGCCTGTTGGTAGCCGTGTACTTCTAAAACAGTGCGCGTTTACTCAGCGACATAAACTAGCAGATACTTATGGGGAACAACAGTATGTAGTGGTAAAGTCCAACAAAGAGGGAGACCTGTATGCAATTAAACCGTTTGATGGTGGTGTTGATCGTTGGGTTAATAGAAAGATGATTGTTCTTGATCCAAGAGGGAAATCAGTTGAACCAAGTTTGGAAGAACCCCGATTGAACCTACCCTCCGTTGACAACGAAGGTGGGGTTGATATCGATGACGATGATTCTTCTCTAGATTGGGAATGGATGTTAGCTCCAGCAACTGACCCTAAGGCTCCCGATACACCCAGTCGTAAAATCACACAACCGACTTCAGAGTCTAGTGTGATGAAGCCAAGCACTTCATCACCCAGTGGTAAAGAGCCACTCTCACTACCAGTCCATGACCCCGAACCTAGGCGTTCGGAGCGTATTCGGAAGAAGAGGTTAGGTGACTGGCCTAACCCCATTACTTAGCTATATATAGCCTTACATTCAAAGAGGTTCTGATAAGTCTCAGACCTTTGTAAGATTGTTTAAGTTCATAGAGTGTCTGATAAGTCTCAGACCTTTGTAGGTTTATTTGGGGAAGGGACTTGCCTGTTTCAAGTATTTTACAGGTCCGGCCTTATGCCACCTCTTCACCCATCATATATATACTGTAGTTGATATGTATATCGTCCATGTTTGTGACGTGAAATAACATTCTAATTAGCTCTGTGCATTTATACAACTCGGCAGAAGAGATCTGCTGTGAACTTTTGGTTTATACAGAATGGTCAATAAGCCAATTATACTCATTTATTGACCTAAATATGTTTTGTTTACTTGTTTTATATCAGAGACTGCTGTAAAGAAGACTGAATAAGATATATTCAGAGGAGATTATTGCATCACTCGATGATGTCTAGTAAACAGGCAGTATTCTTATTTGGACATTCATTTCCGGCTCGCCTTCTTCGGCATGCTCGGGAACAACATGTCGAAGTGTCATCCTTAATAGGCTTAGATGATAGTTGTAGCATATTTGTTGAAGGTCATCCAGGGTTGACCTATTCTCGGATTTTCGATTCTATCCCTCATTATTTGAGTAAGATGAAATCTAGATCAATCGATGTACTCATTGTGGATCTTGGAACGAATGATCTGTGCAATCCAGATTGTACCCCTGGAAAAGTGGTCGAAATGGTTGTTAAGTTTCTAGAATTGATTGCAACCTGGGGAATCACTCCGAACCATATAATCTTCCTATCGGTAATCAAAAGAACAACCATCTCAAGAGCTGGGCAAGTTAGGGTCTCAACATTTAATCATAGGGTAAAACGCTTCAACTCCCTTCTCAGTGCAACATTGGAAAGATATCCAAAGGCTACAATGTATGCACAGCGGAGAATTAACCACCCCAAGTGCCTCTCAGATGGATGCCATCTTAACTCAGATGGTATGATTAATTATTGCCGTGGGATAAAAGGAGCCATTGATCGATGTTAGGTATAACCATAGTATAACATAGCGTTAACTATTGTGTATGAATGTAAATTAACACATCTTTGTGCATTGTATAACTAGTAAGAAAACCATTCTGTAGATTTGTTCACGGTGTTATATACATGTATCTAGTTTACTCAATACATATTCGTGTATATGTATGGACGTGATATGTTAATAATGCTCGGTTTTCAAGGTACTTGCTCTGTGTGAGTCGGGTTCATCCCATACCAACCGATTGCCTAGTTTCATTTTAAACAAGGTGTTTTTTATTATACGCTGTTATAACATTGTAGTTTACATCATTTTGTATGTGTATGATTACTGATACTGTATTTAGAAAAATTCTTTGTAATTGTGGCCTATAATTGGAATTGCTAATGAAGGACCATTCGGGGGCGCATGGTCTCAAAGCAGGGAAGTTGTAGGGGTCCGTGTCTTTTGAGAGACTCCGTAGTCTTCGTGTGAGACCGTGATTTCATCAGTTCTATTTATAGCGTGTAGCGACATGTCACCGCTATTCATCCACATGTGGTGCAAATAGTTCCTTTGAGGAAAAGTAATTATTTAAAACAGTTTGGACGCATCAATCCTGAATTCACTTATTTGTAAACTTCTATTAATGTGGGAGATTGTATCCTGTAACTGTTAGAGACACTTTTGCTGAGCTAATAGTATCAGGAGAGGGGTTGTGAGGCGCATTAATCTACATGTGTTTTGCCATCTTGGAAAGTGATGAGCAATACCGTCCTTTTCGGATCAGCTGCCAATGTGTGAGTACATTGAAGAATAGTTTGTGCCCCTAAACTCAGCTTTTGATGATAACATTTTTATATCTATTGCATGATTTGTGTCTCATAGTCTCACATCACTATCCCTGATACTACTGGACAAATCTTAGGTTCATATGTTGATTGGAAAAAGAGTAATTTAAGGTTCATTTGTCCTCTCGATCTGTTGAAAACTTTCGTGAGTGAATCACCTGGTCGCACACGGTGACTGTTTCATGTCTGCAATTTACAGTGACTGTTGTATGTCTAATTCTAGCTTTGGTTTCTTGCTCCATAAAATATTTTGTGTGACAGGTTGGCGAGTTTGATGCCATAACACAACCCAGCTTGGCGTTCGGGGAAATTTGAAGTTGAGGAAATTTAGCAATTTATAAGGGAAATTTAGGGAAATTAAGCAACAGTTGAACGTAACGGCATTTTGTACTGGAATTTAAGTTAATTGACAATTGTAGACCACGCAAATTCTATACCCTAGCTCGTGTAACACTGGTTTATTTCATATAACACTACTTGCCATTGTGGGAACTGATTGTCATTTATTTCATTCTGCTTTGTTTATATAAAATCAGACATCAATTAAAATAATTTGATATTCCAATCTGAGAAGTGAAACTTTTTGCATCAGCTTCCAATTATTTTGTTTCTGATTTTGAATTATTGCCTCAGCGTCCTAAACTCATCATTTAGCGGACTTTCCTTCAAGTATCGTGGTGCACATAACACTGCCCCATGGTCTCCGCGATCAGTGCATTAAGTCCAGTCTTGCAACATCTATTAATTGGGTCCAACCTTTGACATTCTGGAGGCTGATTTTCAATAATGAGATTGATCACTTTCAATCCATTTTTCCGTAAAACTCTCAGTTCATTTGATTTGCCAAGTGCATGGAACTCGACTTTATTAAACATCAATAAATCACGACATTTTTTCGCATGAAATCTTTTTTTTTCTTTCAGACCAACAGACAGATGCGGATCCGTGAATTGCTTCGCCAACATTCCCAGGAGGCTCAGCTCATTGTCATGTAAGTACAAACCGGCGATAATGGCCACTATCGGACAATTAACCTATCACGGTGGAATTGCGTCAACGCAGCTTGTAAAATATTGTCTAAACATGATATAGAAATGGACGCAGAACGCCAAAATCTGAGACAAACAAAAGTTAACGTACAAAATTCCATGAGCCGTTTCGCGGATACCGCCATCTTTGAAATGGGGGGGGGGGGGGGGGGGGCATTACATTGAAAAGTCATGCCATCATTCTCAGCTACAGTTGCATGATGAGACGTATTTTCATTGTAATGCCCCCCCCCCCCCCGAAAAAAATAATAATTCAAAGATGGCGGTACCAGCGAAAAGGCTTATAGAGTTGTCTAAGGGGCATGGTTAACTCGCAAGCGGCGGTAGGTCAATGAGTGGCGCTTTTCATGGTGGCACAATTGCTGACGTTTACACGAAATACCAAAAATTCTTTAAAAGCCGCTGGCGAAACAAGAAACTTTATAAACAAAACTAAGGACACTTGTGTAAAAACTAAAAGTTACTTGTTTAAAAAGGGCACTCTTTACAGAATACTTGGGGGGGGGGGTGTTAACCGCTGGTGCAAAAAATGGGGGCGGGGTGAGCAATAGATCTAACAGTGCTTGTGACCCAGTCTGACTGAGCTACTGTGGTCACCTGATCAAAAGTGGTGATCTGATTGGCCAATGTGCACTGTTGATTGACATGCAGGAAGGGTCCATTTTAACCTTTTCTTTGATTTCTTGCAGGAGTCTACCTATTCCCAGGAAGCGTACTTGTTCAGCCTACATGTACATGTGCTGGCTGGAGACATTATCCAAGGATATGCTGTCAGCAGGGATGCCAAATATGGCATCCAAATAAAAGTCAATACAAAGAAATTCACTTGAAATGATAAAGTGACAAAGGACAATTCCAACCAGTTGAAAGACCCTCCTCACTTGAATGGAATTTGTGCTTAGTTTTGATTGATTTCGTTAAGATTGTTTCTTTACCATCCAACGGGCTCACACTTTCACTGATGTTTTCAAAGTGAGTTTCTTGAATGCAATCAAGTAATGCTGATTAAGAACAATGAAAGTCTTCAAATAATTTGGAGTCTTTTAATCAAGAAACACTTGTCGTACTTTTACGGGCTTTAAAAACAACAGCCAACTCCACTTTTTTCATTACTGTGGGCACGTTTCTGTTTCAACTGAAAGTAATTAAAATCATTGTTTTTTTTCATAACGAAGCCAAGCGAAAAAAGAGAGTATTTATCAACAATGGTGGTGCTTTTGGTAATCCTCAGAATGAGGTTTTATGCATACTGTTTTCATAGCCAGTCAATTGTACTACTTTAACATAATTCTCACATATTGTAACGTTTAAAATAATGCAATCATTTCATAAAAACCAGTGTATTCTAATTGCTGTGAATAGCATTAGAATATTTCAAACAATTGTTAATCCAAATGCCAAGCTTAAAGTCTATAAGAAAATCAGATTCAATCACTCGATACTTTTTTCGTGACTTGAAATAAAAATTGATACATGCATGGGATTGATTTAATTGACATCATCTGTGCTGGGCATACAGGGAACATAAGGCAAAGAAAATAACAAGTTACAGTAAACGCCCTAAAATTATCCAGGTATGTAGCAAAATATTTTGTTTGTTTGTCTGTATGTCTTTTATACTTTGTTTGCTTTAATTAGGATACAGTTATTGTGTTGAATTATTCTGTTTTAAATACCCAATACTACAAATAAGTTGCATTTATTTTCGGAAAAAAACATGTTATTTTATATGTTGACCAAATGTGGCAATAACAAAAAATGGCGGTCAGAAACATGGCCTAAAAAATTCAGGTTGGTCGAGAAAACACCATAAACACAATTTTTTTTTAGTTGTTAACATTTCTGGATACATGGTGGCACTGCTTTATTGCAAACCTTTTGTTTCAAAAAAATAATGACCCAGCTTGCTTTGAAAAAATATTCCATCAAAATACTTCCCAAAAGGCCTACAATGGGTACCAAAAAAATCGTCGTCAAAAAACTTAACGCATACTTTTCACTATATCTCAATACTCATGCATAAAGCTAAATATTTTGTTTTGCAGAAAGTCAAAAAAAATTGGCAAATCCATTGTTGTATACAGATCGGCGCATGCGCAAAGCAAAATCATTAATATTAATATTTTGTGACATTGTCATTGAACATTATTTGTTTTAATTCATTGGTTATTGTTTCGGCAAAATGGAAAGCGATTAAAAAAATCAGCAACACGATGCTCGTGTATCTTTATGTGTTGGATTGTGTTTATTCGGGGTAAAGGAGGAAGCCACTGAATGAGGTGTAGTGACCACCAATTGCCCTACCGTGCATTGTGAGATACATCGTATCTCCACGCTGCAGAACCACCACCGCGCTCCCAGACACCTGCTCAAAGTGACTTGAATCATTGCTATAGCCAGTGACAACCATGTCGCCGTTCTTCCGGAGATAAACGCGCAGGCGGCTGCTGGAAGGATATTTGCACACAGAAAACATGAACACGTAGGTGCCCGGCACACCACACGTGAACGTGCCGGTCTCGAGATCGAAGCTGGTACCCGGCAGAAGCGTCTTGGTCGCCTGGAAGGGCAAACGGGTGTCGTCACTCGTAGAGGTATCCGAGGTGCTCGTCCTCACCACGGTGAATGCTACCCGCTGGTTGGAGTCGTCTGGTGTCTCCCCTGGCTCACCCTTTTGACCTTTGACACCAGTTTCCCCCGTTGGCCCCACAAAACCTCTTGGTCCCATCTTGCCCGGGAGGCCTCTGCCGTCGTCACCCGGCTCTCCTCTTTGACCTGCATCACCCTTTGACCCTTGTAAAATTCCTACAATTGCAGCTGTTTCCTGGCAGCACGTTTGGCCCGCCTGAGACGCAGGACCATCACCGTCCGAGGGAACCGGCTCAGTAACGGAAGCTCGGAGGTTGACGGAGTTACCCAGAAGGAGGGCAATTGAAAGAACGGTTGCCAAGAAGATCTTCATTCTGTACAGAAAAAAAATGATTAAACTGAAACAAATCAGGTGAGAATTTCTTTTAAATAAAATAGTTAAAAAAAATAGCGACGAGTACAGAAAAAGGAAAAAATGTTGCAACCTGACGTCACTTTTTTCTTCATTATATCATCTCAATGAAGGTCATTCATTGCAAAAATGATGATCAGACATGAATCTGGGACTGAGAGACATTTCCATTTTTGTTAGGAAATACTTTTCTTGATCCTCCATAAACTTTGTACACAATCGCGGAAGTGGCGTCAGGTTGCAACCGTTTTTTTCGAGAAAAATATTGATGTCAGATAAACTGCAGAGTTAGTCTAACTCATGACAATCGGATTTGAAAACAAAACAAAACATGAGATTGAAGAAATCGCTGTTCAGAGAATGTGTTCTTCGTGATAACAGTGACGTATCAGGGGGCTGGAGCTAACATTGATGAAAAGCTTAATTTTTAAAATTGGTTGCCATGGCAACCCATTGAATTGTTTAATAAAGATCTCCAAATTGCATGCCGATAGGATAAAGCGCATTGGAGCTGTAGTATTTTTTTTTTGGGGGGGGGCGGAGCACATTTTGCCCCTTCCCAGGTCCTTATAGAATAATTAATTAAACCTCACCACACCCACCTCGATGGTTCGTTCTTGAAGATCAGGTCCAAGAAGAGATCACAAGGAGTTCAGTGAAGGCTGAAAAACATACGAAGGAACACTGATTACCTTTTATACTTTAGTAAGAAATAATATTTTATTATTCAATTTAGATAAACTCGTGAGTTTTTTTCTCATTTAATTTTGATGGCACAAATTGTTTTTATGGCACATTGTCCGGGATTTCTCACGACATTGACTGATGCTTGAAATTAGTCCAATATTTCTATTGAAACGTTTATTCAAATCGCCTGCATCTACTTATGACGCAGTAGTAAGTCATTCAAATTTCAATGTCACACCTTGCTCATTCAATATTTAAAAACATGGGCAAGCGTTTTGAACACCCGGTTGAATTTAGCGAAAGTTCGCAATTGTTCAGAGTATTTTCATTCACGAGTAAAAAAGTAGGCATCAAAACGTGACTTTCTTTGATTTTCTTGCGCTTTGGATTTCAGTCCCGCTCGAGAATTCAATTTGATGCGTACGTTTATAAAAGTAGCACGTGTTCAATGACATAAGTTGCTTAAGATGTTGTGTTAATGTGTTGCAAAACAGTTTAAAATTAATGACATGGCTTTTGAAAAAGTTTGATAGAGGAATTTACAGCTATTTCGAAGAAAATATTGAATGCCTAACACATTTCAAAACAGAAGTTTAAAAATGTAAAATGTTAAAGTGATAGAAGAAAATACATTCTGAGCACTCAAAAGACAGATCTGTATATGTAAACCGAAGTGAGCAGTTTGTTTATTGTTGTAATCACTCTGTGGAAATAAAAAGAGCGAATTATTTAATTTCCTTTCTTATCGCCAATGCGATTGACGTTTAGCGAATCGCTAATGCCAGATTAAGATGACTCCTGATTTTACTGCACTTTCGCTGAAAATGAATACTTCCTCTATA